GGTGGCAGCTGAGACTGCGGAGCTTGAGGCTGGTGAGGATGAGGTGCCAGAGGTTGATGTTGCGACTGGGGTCGAGACGAGGGCTGAGCCGGTTAAGGAGGAGAAGAGGATATGAAAGTTTTGATGATCGTGTTTACTGTACAGTGTATCTATAGATGTTCATGAATCGTTGTACCACGTGTTGGTGGGTTGTGTTGTACAGTATACTACATGGCACGGAAAATGCTCACGTGCTTCTCCCTTACCATACCTTCTTGCATCTTCAGCCCACATCCCCATCATCCGCGGCTCGGCATTTGCCTCAGGAGCACGTGGCGACGGTTTCCCTAGGTTTGCTTGTCCGTATCATCTCGACGTTCTCTCAAGCCGCCTCATCATCACCCTCCTTCTTCTCCACCTTCTTGCCTTCATACATAACCGTCATAATCCCGCCAACCTCTCCCTCCCTCTTAGTCTCCCTCGCCCCCTTACACTCCGCCACCGCATTCTCAATCGCCTTGAAAACGGCATTCGCTTCTTGCTCCGTCGCCTTCCTACCATGCTTCTTCGGCCCGAGCGTAACCTCAACTTTACGCCCCTCCTTCAGAAACTTCTTCATAGCCACCAGCCTGTGCTTCAGATCGCCCGCGGCTATCGCCCAGTTCAGTTCCAGCGACTTTGTAGCAGGTCCTGTGCCCTGGCCCTTGGCTTGCCGTCGGAGCGTCTCGAGTTTCTTTTGGTGTTGTGCGCGGAGGTCGATTTTGGAAATGACGCGGCAGGTGGGTAGGCTGTTTGGGTCTAGGTTTCCTTCTTCGTCGTATTTTCCGGGCGTCATTTGTACGAGGTGGTGGGTGACTTTGTTGAAACTTGTCAAGGCTTCGTCGAGAGGGACGCTGTTGTGGAAAACGCCCTGTTCGTCTACGAGGTTGATTATGTCGGCTTCGATGGCGCTGTCGATGACGTAGTAGTCGGAGATGGCATGTCGGCGTGTGTCTTTTGTGTATTTTATGCCGCGGGTGGAGGTTCGGCTCGTGAGACTGGGCGTGGACGAGGAGAGGGAGGTGGGAGACGATGTCGGCGCAAATGCTGGGGCGTACAGAAGTGGGATGGATGTTGTGTTGCGCAGGTTTGGAGCGATGAAGACACGGTAGAGGGCCCGTGAGGTGCCGGATATGTGCGTTGGCGGCATCTTGAGTAATTGACGTTAGATCGTGAAGTTCAATTGAACAGGGGAGAAGTTTGACTTTGTTGCTGCAACATGCGATATTCAAGACCGAAGCTTCCCGATATCGACGCTAGCAGGGGTCGAGTCGAATCGGAGCAGTGACGACCTCCGCAATCGTCCATGGTGACCATCTTCAGCCTGCTCACGTAGCAAACCACCATGACAGCGATAGAGACGCCTTGCACACTCCGTGATCTCGCGCAACCTTACCTACCGCCATGAGTAGTTCTCTGGCGGAATATTTGTCTGCACTCGATGCGCGTGACGCGAGAGAGAAGGCGCATGAGCAGTACATCAACGCCTGTATGTTATCTGCCCATGCGAGACGCGCAGTGCTACGAGATGATGCTGATGTCCATAGATACCAGGCTCGCCGACAATACTGCACAGCTGTCAACCCAGACAGCCTCCGCGGAGGAGCCCACACCCGCAGCCAGCGCATCTACCAAAGCCATCCCGTCAAAGGGCAAGGGCGCAGCGACAACCGATGTATCCTCTCCGTCCGCTGTCGCGCAACTCCGCTCCGAACTAGCCATCACTCAGCGCACGCGTGGTGACCTCGAAACGCAACTGAGTACTCTGACTGTTGAGCTCAGCGCCCTCAAAGCCTCAGACACACAACAGAAACAGCGCATAGAACAACTTGAGAAGGCGCGAACAGCACTGGAAAGGCGGGGCAAGGACAGAGCGGAGGAGCTCAAGGGCAAGGGGAGACTTGTAGAGGAGGTGCACGATGAGATGGTTGCGCTGAACCTGCAACTCAACATGGCGGAGCAGGAAAAGGAGAAACTGCGCAAGGAGAATGAGGAGTTGACTAAGCGGTGGGTCAAGAAGATGGAGGATGAGGCGCGGAGGATGAATGAGAAGTCCGGGTGGGAAGATCAGTCGCGGCGGAAGAAGTAGCTGATGGACCACCCTGGCGTCACACTTATTCTCTTTTGTTGGCCATAAGCGATATGAAGCTCAGCGTTTAGCGCAATAGACTGTTTTCACTTCATGTCACCCTCCTGTGGACTGCCCGCTTGCTCGCTGATGCCTTGTATCTCTTGGCGCTAGAGCTCCCCGCCGCAAGCATACAGCTCCCTCGCCTCCCCACCAAAACACCAAACTCACCCAAACAAGCCTCCGCTGTCTTCAACTATGGGGACCGCATTGAAGACCTGGGGTAAGATTAATCCTGCTATTGTCGGAACATAACCATCTTTGAACTTGAATACCCCGCATACCATTGCACCGCTAACCAACATCTCAGAGCTCGAGAACTCCGTCAAGCTCGTCGACCCCAGCAAAGACGCCCTCTACAACTACTCAGCCCCCGCCCAGAAAGCCATCAACGACGCGCACCCATGGCGAACCGACCCCAACTACTTCACCTCGGTCCGCATCTCGGCCATCGCCCTCCTCAAGATGGTCATGCACGCGCGCTCGGGCGGCTCAATCGAAGTCATGGGCCTAATGCTAGGCAAGATTGAAGCACACACATTCGTCGTCACCGACGCATTCCGGTTACCAGTCGAAGGCACAGAGACCCGAGTCAACGCACAAGACGAGGCAAACGAGTACATGGTAGAGTTCCTGCAGCGCGCACGAGAACAGGGCCAGATGGAGAACGCCGTCGGCTGGTACCACTCACATCCCGGCTATGGCTGCTGGCTCTCAGGTATCGACGTCAACACACAGAAGACGCAGCAAATGTTCCAGGACCCCTTCTGCGCCATCGTCATTGACCCCGACCGAACCGTCTCCGCGGGTAAAGTCGAAATCGGCGCTTTCCGCACATACTCCACAGAGTACGTCGAGAACCAAGCGAAAGCGGGTGGTGGCTCCAAGAACGTGAGTGGCGCAGAAAGCGACGGCTTCGAAACTATTCCACTAGGCAAGATCGAGGACTTTGGTGCACATGCCAACCACTACTACTCCCTAGAAGTCTCGCACTACAAGTCCTCGCTCGACGCCAAACTGCTAGAAGCGCTGTGGAACAAGTACTGGGTACAAACACTCTCCTCATCCCCCCTTATCTCCAACCGCGACTACGGCACCAAGCAGATCTCCGACCTCGCCCGCAAAATGCAGCAGGAAAACAACGCCAGTAAGCGCTTCAAGGGCGGCGCGGGATACGCGTCGAACAACGAGAGCAAGAACCAGTTGACTAAACTGGGTGCGGCGGGTAGCAAGATTGCACGAGAAGAGGACATGGGGCTGTTGGCGGCCAAGGTTAAGGATAAGGTGTTTGGGCTTGCGGATGGCGGCGAGGTTAAGAGCCAGGAGGTTGAGATGGAGACTTCTTAGATGAAGCAGTATGATGGGCTTGTGGAAAGCATGACATGGCATGGCAAGGCGTTTGTGGCGCAGGCGTAAATCAAATAAATCAGGGTATGGGATGATATCACGAAATGGAATCAATGAGTTCATCGTCGTATTGCATGAATACTAAAGCCTCGTACAAGGGAGAACGTGAACGGGCTTGGAGTCTACACTAGGACAATGATAAACAAATGAGAAGACTTAGCGTTGGTGTAGGCTTCACACTGATTGGTGTTAACGTAGTGATACTCTACAGCCGAACATATGAATAGATACATTCTCTCCTCCTTCTTGCCCCTGATAATCCCTATAACTACCAGCAACCTAGACATATCAATATCAACAGCAGTCGGATCCAGCATCCACGCAAAACTTCCAGAACGACTTCCAACATGAGCTCGTAAGAGGTTAGTGCCGTTGTTGCCTTGGGCCTAAGCGATCCTTCGAATATACCCAGGCAAGTATAAAATCCGCGCATGCCGTCAGTTCACCAATGGCCTGTTTCTTCCAACATAAGCACCACATATTTAACCCCGCACCCTCCGTACCAATACCATCTCGTATCCAAACACAATGATCCAGCTACCCGAAGACATACTACGAGACCTGATCATAACAACAGATGGCCAAGCCGCGTCGCCGTATTCCTATCACGAATGGGGCTACACCATCTACCGCACATGCTACAGTCCGGAATCTCAATCGCAGTGGGAATCTTTGATCAAAGCCATTCAGCAAGGAGTCACAGAAAACTTTCCTGGGTCGCAGGAAGACGATGAGCCACCGACTACTACGTCTCAACTCCTACGCTCCCTGTTACGGCTAGACTTCCGCGATAATGCTGAGCTTTATGATGGCCTTACAATCGAACAGCTTCGCCAGATATATCTCCATCCTACTATAGAAAATCCTGTGCCCTCGTCACCGAACTTGTACAGAAGCGACCGTGTCTTCCTTGTCGCTGACGCAGGGGTTTTGATGGATTCGTACTTTTTGTCGAAAGAGAACGAGAGAACGAAAGTGGCAGATATTGGCGATATTGGTGATACTACAAGCTACGTCGCAGCTTCCCAGAGTGTGCAGAAATACCAATACCAGCACTATGGCTACAGCAAAACCTCCTCCACCAAGCGACGATGGCTCAAGTGTGTCGAAGTAGACTACGTTGCTGCGGATCATCATCCGCGGAGAAGAGGTCAGGGCCTCGGGGACCAGTGTTTTGGCTGGTTTATGATGACGGCGGAAAGCGTGGTGGAGCTATGGGAGGTATTGCTTGATCAAGACGTCGAGGAGATCAAACCCAGGTTGGTTGATGTGATGATTTGTAAGTACACCATGCCCTATTCGTGTGTTGTTGGTTGATGAACACATATGTTAATTATTGAATAGGGGGAGGGTATTGAGCGTTGATGGAAAGATGAGCTGGGTAGATGGGCATTGTTATGTTGACTAAACTTTGCGATTTGGAAGTAGTCTTGTATATCTAGCATGCTCACAAGTCGTCAATGAGCGGGCTAAGGCCCTGCGCGGTACCAATCCTGATCTCATAAAAGTCCCTCCGCCTCTCAACATGACCACGGTCTGCCATGAACTCAGCAAACGCAGGCGCATCCGTACCGGGCTGCTGCAGGATCGTCTCGGCGCCTTCTGGTGCTGCGATGTCCTCACGGACGCTCCAGCCACGGCTAGATTGGTTCTCGTCGCTGAGCATGAAGCTGTGGAGCAGCTTTGCGCCTTCAGGGTGGGGTGCTTTCTTTAGGATGGCGCCAGTCTGAGCCCAAGAGACGAATTTGGCGTCGCTGGGAAGCGCATACTTGACTGGCGGCCGGTCTGCGAATGAGTACCCCGAGGTAAAGGTCACCGCGCTGCTGCTGTTGGCAGCCTTGATGAGTGTGCCGGGAGTTGCGGTACCGCGCACCCAGCGGGGGTTGTTGGCGAGCAGGGCGTTGAACCATTCCTCACCGAGCTCTTCGATGCTGCACAGGATGTTAGCCTGTTTGCATGTGATGACTGGAGGGGAAAACGTACATCAGTTCGAACTGGTATAAGACAGCATCATCGTCATTGGGGTAGGTCAGAACGATCTTGTCCTTGTATTCGGGCTTTGTGAAGTCTTGGTACGAAGTAGGCATCGTGCTCGTTTTGTTCATGTTGGCAGAGATACTGTTGCTGATTAGCATGTGTGACTCGACGTATCCCAGGAAACTCGTACCCCCAGTCAAAAATAAGCAGTCCACTGTAAGCCGCATCTGCGTCCTTGAACACAGGATAGATCTTGTCGAAGTTCAACGGAGCGTAGTTCATCAAAGCGCCCTGCTTCTTCCATCGTGGGTAGTCGTGAAGCGTCTGCAGGATGATGCTGTCGACGTAAACATTATCGGCAGCCAATTGTGCGTCAAGGTTGACATCATGGTACTTCGACAGGTCGACGGTGACATTGAGTGTCATGTTAGGGAACCGTGCCTCAAAGGCACTCTTCAGACTGTTTTGCTGAGTCTTCTCGTCGCCGCCATGCCAAAGAGTGACAACGCCACCTTCGGCCAAAGCTGCTTGATAGATCTCATCGAGGCTGCGCATCTCCCGCTCGTAGGTTGTAGTGTTAGGGAGAGAAGCTGCCAGAGAAACTCCGGCAAAAAGTGCCAAGCTCGAGAGTTCGAAGCGCATCGTGGCTGGTTTCGGTCGGCTGGCTGTGATAGAGGCGCAGTTGTTTCATGAGCCATCGAGGTATTGCACATCTTATATCGGCGACTACTAATCACAGACCCACGCGCTACAGATGCTATCGCGACAGATTGATTACGATCATTGCTTCCACTTCCAATTCCGACTCGGGCCTTTATAACCTGTTTAGCGGACCAGAAGGAGGCTGAGACTTCACTGAAGTTACGCGGCCTCCAGATAGAATGGATGACATCGCAATGGGAATCCAAGGCTCACGCTTCCAATGATATCAAGAGCTGTAAGCACCCGAAAGCAAGATGTTTGGCATACGTAGTCTTCTCGACGCAGCATCTTCAGGAAAGTGTTGCGAATTCGACAGTTTTCTTTGGCAGGGACCGTGCGGGTGTTGTGGGACTGAGTACGAACGCGCTCCAGATCTGCACGGTCTCGAGTCTTATCACAAAGAAGCTTTTTCACGTCGATTCAGGGTTTCTAAGAATGAGAGAGTGAGTGGGTCTTGGAGAAGGAGAAGATGGGTAAACTTCGGGTCAAAACAGGTCAACGGTGGTCATGATTGAGTGCTGAGCTGACACGGGAGCGGCTCTAAATCAGGAGAAATATGGGCGGGGCACAGAGTTGGACATGGAGAGAGCTGGTCACGTGAACGCTTCGCTTGTTCCGGTAAGGCGCGTCCCCCCTTATCGCATGCCCCCGGCAATCGGCACCGTCATTCACGCCTTCGCCCCAGTTGGCGTGAAGGTATGCCGTCGCAACAAACATCACCGCCATCGCTAGCGGAATCCAAGAATGGACCGAAGCCTGAGAAATCCACCCGATGGACAATGATACAGGAAGTTCCCCGCAGGAGCCGCCTGCCAAAAAGCAACGAACCCTAGCCTGCCAGCGATGTCGCTATCGGAAACAGAAGTGCGAAGACAGCCGCCCGTGCCAGAATTGTGTCAAGGGAGACGAAGAATGTCTTCCTACGCAGCCAGCGCCTCGGCCTCACGTTGAGAGCGAATATGTGCGTATTCTGGAAGAGCGCGTTGCTGAGCTTGAGGCTCGAGACCCGCAGCAGAGCCTTGATCACCTAGCAAGAACCCAGAACAAGCCTGATCACGACATAGATGACACGTCCCCAGCAAGCAGTGGGTTGGCGGGCGATGGGATCGCAGGGGGAGCAGTTGTCCCTTCGATCCAACAGACCTTGCCGCCGCGGCGGTCATCTATCCTTTCCGGCTCATCTTCGGGTTATGCAATAGCTTCGGGCACGGATGACGAACCGACTTGAATCATCTCATCTTTGGGCTTATCGCATCACCTTCAGCGCAGTTTCCAGCTCACGATGCTGCTCGTACCTCAACGACCACACGGCCGGCACAGGTCGAAGTGAGTAACGCGCACACACTGTTGACCAGCATCTCTCCGGAACTCGAAGAATCCTTGCTCAACGCATATCGCGAGCGCGCTCAAGCCCAGTATCCCTTCTTCCACTGGGACACCTTCCTCACATGGCATTCGGAGTGGAAGCACTGTTTGTCCCGCGACTTTGAAGAACGAGCATGGCAAGGGTTCTTCATCAATCTTGTGTATGCGACAGCTTTAGTACTGTTGCGTCAACCTTATGCGGCAATTCTCAATGCTCGAGAATTTTACGATAGTGGTATCGCACTCCTGCCGGCTGTGCTACGTCAACCGGATAGAATCCTCCAGGTGCAGGCAAATCTACTACTGTCCGTGCATGCACTACACCAGAGCTCTACTGAGCGCATCATTTCTCTCGCGTCCACAGCTATACGACAATGCGTTCTGCAACAATTACACCTTGGCGAGACGGAACCACTACCAACCGACGTTGATGCCCGACTAGTAATCCAAGTCAGACGGCGATGCTTTTGGTGCGCGTACCTTCTTGATCGGTTGGTCATGTCATCCTTCGATCTTCCTCCCTCTGTACCGGACTACATGATTACCGTAAGGCCTTTCGCTAATATCGAAGACCACGACCTGTTAGGAGCCGCTGCCATCACGCCGCCTAATCATGACTTGACTGATTCTCAGAACTACACGTGTAATTCCTCAGCGCTTCATATACTGCAGTGCAGGCGCATACAATCCGAAATAAGCGCTGTTACGCTTCGATGGGATTACCATGCTCAGTTTGAGAATAGTTCAGATTGGCGGATAAGAATACTTGCGGAATTGGAGAACTTCAAATCTAGGGTACAAAACTTTTCAGATCCACAGTCAAAAGGTTATACATCACAACGGTGGCAAGCGATGATCTACCACTATACGTTGCTCATGCTTTATCGACCGACAAAAGCCAACGTCATCGGATCTGCCGGCGATTGGTCGGTTCAAGCCAGCAGCCAGGCTTGCTTGATGTTTCGTAGGACTCAGATTGATCGTCAAATCGCTCAGCCATGGCTTGCAGTAAGCAATTCTGCAAACTTGACGACACATGTGCTAATCCTAGCAGCTCCTTGTACAATTCCAGTCCGGCATCACACTCCTTTACTGCTTCTGGGCTACCCCGCCGGAACATAGAACCGACAATTACTACTCTCTCGATGTCTCTGACGCGCTCCGCGCCTGCTCCAACATCCTAGCGATAATGGCAGACAGGTGGGTGAAGGCAGAATGCCTGCGAGACGTCTTCGAGCTACTGGCGCGCGAAATCCCGCTGGTCGACCGGCCCAACAAACCACCGACTCGACTGTCGGAGAAAACGGTTAAGACAATGCGAGAGCACCTTCCGCAGGTTCGCGCACTAGTAGTGCATCGTTCGGTGTTGCGCATGATCGACGAGATGATAAATGAAGACTTCCCTCGCTCTGCGCAACCTTCTCAGCTACCAACGATTCGTGGCATGCTCGCTCCGAATCACCAAGAACCTGAGGAAGACTTCAACAATCCGCTACAGCAGCTCAACGGCAACTTCCAGATGCCATTTGCTATGCAGCAGCCATTCGAGTACGGAAATACAGATTCAGGGCTTGAAAATTTGGCTATCGATGGCCTACTCTCGTTTCCTGGGGTGTTTGACTTCGAAGGCTGGACATGACAGGTCGACAGAAGCAGATCTCATTGGGACTAGTGTACTCAAATTGCAGGCTATTGACGACTTCACAATCACGCTGATTTGCCCTTGTCTACGATGGACTCTCCGGCGACCGTCTCGAAGAATGCATCCGCCAAATATCCACCGCAATAACTCAACTTCTCAAACCCATCAGTCATAGGTTTTGAGCTAAGAGCTGGGCCTTGCACCGACTTCAAGTAGCCAGCGATACCTTGGTCCTGCCACATCTTCGCAAATTGCTCCGTCACCATGTTGAGACCCTGCAGACTCCAGATCGGCTGGACCTGCCATACGACGCCTAGCTTGGCAAGATCGAGATGAAGGTTCTTGACCTGACCATCACTGAAACCCGCTTTCGCAAAGTCGTAGTCGCCGGTGTAGCCAAAGGCAAAGAGCCGGTCTGGATACACCTTACGGACCTGTGTGTGGAATTCGACAATGTCTTCCCAGTTTGGAGAGTCCATGCGCGCCCAGGTTACGTCTCCGAGTGGCGCAGCGGCGATGGCGCGCTCGACGATGCCCTTGACGCAGCTCTTGATCATATACTGTCCCATCGCTGATCGCGGTAGCTCCCAGTCGAAGAAAACTTCCTGTTTCATGGTGTTGCTTGCGACGTCGCGACGGTCTGACAGAGAAGCAACCTTGCGTTTCGTAAGCTCCGCCATGTAAGTGGCAAACTCTTCTTTCGACGCAACGGCCTCGACAGCCTCATCGAATGTTTTGATCCCCGCTTTCGCCTTCCACTCGTCTCGCGCAGCCTTCAGATCTTTCCCCTCCATCTGCGCGACCGCGAGACACTTCTGCAACGGCTCTATCTTCTTCGTCGCTCCCTGCACATACTCGTGATCGCGCTCGTCGACGACACTGGTAATGAACTCGGCATGGTCTGTGTCACAGCGGCATAGCAGTAGGGTCTCCGCGCCCATGACATCAAATTGCATCCGCACAGCTGTCAAGCGATCCAGGTACTCTTGCGTCGGCACAATAGTACGCCCTTGACCAACAGTAAACTTCTTCATCCCGATAGCAAGGTCATCGATGTGTATCATCGCTACCCCAGCGTCCACGAACTCGCGCGCCATCTTCATTGTACTCGTCAGGCTACCGAAGCCCATATCGCCATCCGCAACGATCGGCGCCATGTAATCCCAGTTCTCCAGCTTCTCACGCTCCTCGATCGGATGTCGTAACCGGTACTGTCGTTGGCGCTGGTCATGCCAAAGTTGGCTCTTGAAGATCTTGGAAACAACCTTCGGCACGGTATCCCAAGGGTAGTCCGCATGGTCCATTCCAGGGAGTGCGACTTCCGAAAATCCGCATAGAGCACCGGATACGTAGACAGTCTGCTGATGTTTGGCCATCTGCGAGACTGCTACCGGATCGGTGGTACCGAATGTCAACTCGCATGTGCCGGCTTTGTTGTGGGCGTTTAGCTGCTCCCATAGCTTAATGGCTTGAATCGAGGACGCTTCCGAGGGAGCGGGGATGGAGGTACGAAGCGCGGCTATAGTGCTTGCAGCGTAAGGTCTGGTAACGAGGTCAGCTGAATACTGTCACGGAGTTGATCTACTACTTGGCATCTGACGGGGCTACATACCGCTTCAAATGCGACTGCCTTGCAGAGCTCCATTGCTTTTCAATAGCAGCTACATCAGCTTCGAAAGTCTTCTGCTCATCTTGAACGGATATGTCGAGTTTAGGCATAGTGTGGACTGTAAGGAAATGTGATATACACTATTGTATAGCTTGACAGTTTGTCGAATGATGTGTCTCGGTGAACGAAGCGCCTCTGACCATATATCCAGAAGAACCGCTATTTGAGTAGCCCAGCTCGACGCGCGAGACGCGTAGCTATCCTTGTCGCTCGGCACATGCAGGGTATCTGCTTTCTCCACTGCAAAGAAGCACGGGGGTCTTC